AAGAACGGTTCAACTTCATCTTCAGTGTTACTGGCTGGGGCAGACTTGGATTAGTGTGATATTGAATGGTTTGCCTTGGAAATGAACAGAGATCATTCTGTCATTTCAGAGATTGCATCCAAGTACTGCATTTTGGACTCTTTTGTTGACTATGATTGATGGTGACTCCATTTCTTCTAAGGGATTCTTGCCCACAGTAGTAGATATAATAGTCATCTGAGTTAAATTCACCCATTCTAGTCCGTTTTAGTTCGCTGGTTCCTAGAATGTCGACATTCACTCTTGCCATCTCCTGTTTGACCACTTTCAATTTGCCTTGATTCATGGACCTAACATTCCAGGTTCCTATGCAATATTGCTCTTTACAGCATTGGACCTTGCTTCTATCACCAGTCACATCCACAACTGGGTGTTGTTTTTGCTTTGGCTCCATCCCTTCATTCTGTCTGGAGTTATTTCTCCACTGACCTCCAGTAGCATACTGGGCACCTACAGACCTGGGGAGTTAATCATTCAGTGCCCTATCTTTTGGCTTTTTCATACAGTTCATGGGGTTCTCAAGGCAAGAATACTGAAGTGGTTTGCAGAATACCAAATTGAGAATCTGCAAAATGTGTTTTGGTACCTGATGATCAAATCTGCCCCCAAACAAAACATAAACAGGCTGCAAGACAGAGAGAACAAACTAGTGTGGTTACCAGTGCAGAGAGGAAGTAGGGTGATACGGGGAGAGGATTGAGATACATGCAAATTACTATGTATAAAATAAATAAGCAACAAGGATGTATTGTACAACACAGTGAAACAAAGCTATTATTTTGTAATAACTTTAAATGTAGTATAATCTATAAAAAACATTGAATCACTAGGCTACATACTTGAAACTAATATTGTAAATCAACTGTATTTCTCATTAATTAAAATATCTCTGGTTGAAATGCAATTAAAACAACACTGAGATAGCATTTTCCATGGGTCAGATTGGCAAAAGTTCAAAACCTTGTCAACACATGCCACAGGCCAGTGGGAAAAGAGGCTGTCTCCAGCAATGCTGGAGGAAATTCCAACTGGTTCAAGTCCTGTGGAGAAGAGACAGCAGTGTCTAGGAATACTGCACATACAGTTTACCCTTCTGCCCAACAATCTCACTTCTTAGAATCTACCCTGAAGATTCACTTCCAACAAAATGAAACTAAATATGCACAAGGTTATTGATTACAGCATTATTTGTAATTGCCAAATATTGGAAACTACCTGAATGTCTGCACATAAGAGCACAGGGCCAAGTGGCAGATGTGCAGCTGTACAGGAGGAGGAGGACCACCTCACAGAATGACATGGAGTGACTTCTAGGGTTTCTTAAGTGAAAAGAGCAGAAGTGCAGAAGAGGACATGGAAGATACTTCCTTCTGCATAAGAAAGAGGAAATAAGAAAACAGACATGTATCTGCTTGTCTTTATAAAAAACACAGGCAGAAGCCAGAAGTTGGTCATCTACAAGGAGTGGGAGGGAATGGTGTTGCAGGAATACGGAAGACAGTGACACTTAGTGTATCTTTTTTTATAGTTTTGATTTTTGGAAGTATGTTAATACTGTGCCTACTCAAAAAACCAAATTAATAAGGATGATGCCAGGTGTTGTCCTGAGCGTTGGGAGGTAAGGACACAGCTTCAAAAGAGAGAGATGGTGGAAGGTGAAAATTACCATAGAATGGAAAGACCTAAGTCTCCAGGCAGGAGGTCAGCAGGAGCTCAGATAAACAAGGAGCCATAGAAAAAAACCCATCATTGATAACTTTCAGAATATCAGAGAAAAAAGGCAAAATTCTAAATTTCCTGGAGACTAGAAATATTCACATATGCTGGAGTAGGAGCCAAAGCAATGGAGAAATTTTTTTAAATAGAAAGCAAAATTATTTCCTATCCATTCTAGATATTTCATATAAATAGAATCATATATTTGTTCTTTTGTGGCTTGTTCACTAAGCATAATGTTGACAAGACTCACGCATGAGGTAGCATGTATCAACACTTTATTCCTTCTTATGGCTGTATAATAAGATTCCATGGTCTGGATAGACCAGATTTTATCTAGTCAACTGTCTATGGATACTTGGGTTGCTTCCACCTTTTGGCTTTTGTGAAAAATGCCAGTGAGTGCAAGTTTTTAAGTATCTGCTTTCAATTTTCGTGGGTATATACATACCTAAGAGTGAAACTGCTGCATCCTATGGTAATTCCATGTTTAGCTTATTGAGGAACTTCTGGGCATTTTTCCACCATATTCCTTAAGAGACCCTTAAGTAAGTCACACTGTATTCTCTGCAATCCCTTGCAGAAAATTCTCATCAGCAAGAACTTCACAACGTTGGAGTCAATTTCTTCTTACGAAATATTAAGTATCATTAGAAGGGATTAGAATTTGAGGTAAGAATTTACTTCAGAAAATTACCTGTAAAATTTAATCTAGCTTTTAATATCATAAATGTTATGTACAGCAAAAACAAACATGCTATCTTAATGTTAATAATTCGGGGTTTTAGAAAACATTTTTTGCTTTCTGGGAACAAGATTCTCCTTGTCCTCTAAAATATGTAAAGTTGAATGTCATACAAACTGCAAACACATTTTAAACATGTGTGTGACTATCTACAAAGGCTGAATATACATAAAGTATTATCTCAACTACCAAAATGATAAAGCTCAGAAAAAGACTAATAAAAAATAGCAAAAGTTATTTTAACACTAAATATATATAAGCAGTGTGACTGAATTTTTCTTCCTTTTATATACTATCCTAAATGAATTTAAATTATATATAATTATATCAAATATTATAAATCAATTTATTAAAAGCTAAGCAACACATAAATATGTTTATCCACATTTGATGATGTGGGAGGGACACAGGGAGCAAACCCCTCTGCACTAAGGAGAAGTAGGGTAGTAGCCCTTGGAGGTAAAACTTGTTTCCATAAATTTTTAGTAACATATAAAATGGATAGGATGAAATATTACTACTTAAAAAATGGCTTCCTTTTATAAAAATGATACAACATTCATTATATTCAACCAGAAAAATACAGTCACTCATAATCCCATCACTTACAAAAATCATCTGAGTTAACAGTGGGTAGGCATGTGTCCTGACCTCTCTCTATCCATGCACAGACAGGACTGATGGTGAAAATTGTTATTTTTAAAGGTTTCAGTTACAGATCATCAGCCCAGGTTGGATGCATGAGACAAGTGCTCGGGCCTGGTGCACTGGGAAGACCCAGAAGGACAGGGTAGAGAGGGAGGTGGGAGGGGGGACCGGGATGGGGAATACATGTAAATCCATGGCTAATTCATTTCAATGTATGACAAAAACCACTGCAATGTTGTAAAGTAATTAGCCTCCAACTAATAAAAATAAATGTAAAAAAAAATAAAGGTTTCAGTTATTTGAATGCTACAGAAAAAAAATTAGAAATGAAACTGAAGGTATTGATGAACTTCTGATAAAACAAGGGCTACTGGTTCCTAAAAGCACTAAGTCAGTGATTCTCAAACTTGAGCGAGCATCCAAATCCCCTAGAGGGGTTATTCAAACAGACTGCTGGGCTATCCCCACGGTTTCTGATCCGGCAGGCTGGCAGTCCAGCCAGGAATCTGCATTTCTAACAAGTTCATGGTGATGTTGGTGTTGTTGGTTGGGGAATGAGGCTTTGAGAACCACTGCATTAGGTCAAGAAAGACTGAAAAACAAGATTTTTTTCTATTTTATATCACAATCTTAGACACTATAACTTGACACATCTACCCATGAAAGATGAGGTGGTTGGTTCTTAGTCTTCATCCCATTTCCCCCCAACACCACCTCACCCTACCCCCACCATGTCCCAACTGATTAATGTACTTTCATTTCTCTCAAGATTTATAACATTAACATTCTATTCTACAACTCTGATTCCTCGGTTTTAAAATCTTAGTTGTGTATTTTATTGGATTCAGAGCTAGTAATAATAACCATTCTTTTAGGCAGAACTTTGTTGGGGAACCTGGTATCCTCTCGTCTGGGTTTCCATTAAGTGTCCAGAACTGGTGCTCACTGGACCCAAAGGTGTATCTTACTCTGTGGGCTTTGGCTTCCCCAGGCTACTTTGCAACCTGGAGAGTGCCTTGTCCTGGTGAATCTTTCCCCTTCCCCTGAGGTCCTGAGACAGTAGTAAAGCCCTCACCTTCCCAAGGATTTTCCTTGAGTCTCCTCCACATGACCTGGTCGCTGCATCAGTCCCTCCATCCATACTGGGGCTCCCCATCACTCCAGTTTCTTTGCTCAGTACTACTCAAGGGGTGGGAGGAGCTGCAAGTCACACCATGCCCTGTTGCATTGGCATCTTCCCCATTTCCTTGCTTGGTTGCTGCTGGCGAACCTGTGGTTGCCAGTTTTTGAGTCTGCTAGATAATGGAAAAGGAGAGTTTCTGATCCTGCCTTACTTTTTCCTCCTTCCTTCCACCTGTAAGTATCCCCAACCTTTTTCTAAAAACCACTGAAAATGTAGGGTTTATTGGATAAAATATGGTCTGTATTATGTATCTACATAATCAATAGTTTTTCTAATTAAAAAAATATATCCTCCAAAATATTTATAGTAGTTTTCTGTGATAAGATTATGGCTGGTTTTTTAAAAACTGAAATTTATATTGATTTTACATGTAGATATAAGAAATGATCGAGAGATCCTATGTACGCTTTACCCAGATTTCGCCAACCCATCAGATTTTAAAAGCAGCAAAACCACCAACAGAATAGTAATGCCTCTTGAGGTCTGTGAAACCAGTGAAAAAGAAATGTGACCAGGGGATGCTCAACCAGGAATGCCAATTTCTCTCTCAACCTTTAGTATATTATGTTTGGTCTTTTTAAGTACAGAGCAGTGGTTTAAACATCAACAAGTCATACCTAGGGCTGTAATTCTCATACGAAATTAATGTTCTCACAAACTGGCAAGTAATTGCTTCAAGCAGAAGGAGCAATAGCATTTTATTTCATTACAATTAAACAGTTGACAAAAATGTAAGTGGGAATGTATATTATTATTAAGCAGAAAACAGGAAACAAAGAAACAAGGTATTGAGACTTAAAATATCATTGAAAGTCTCATTGATGTTATCTTACACATAGTAGGTACTCAATACAACTGAACTGAAAATAAACACTTTATAATATGTGCTTGCAAAATGTGTAATGCTGTAGTAAAGTACAATTTCCAAATATGAGATTTTTGTCTGTCAATTTTTTAAAAGCCTTTAAAAATATGATATGCACAAGCTTACCCTGAGGGAAAGTAAGATGGAATATAGATTATAAAACCTTTATGTATTTTCCACAATAGCATTTTGAAACTGGAAAAGAACAAATAATTGTGGAAAAAAACTGAATGAACCAATTACTAAAAATTCAGTGCACTCATAACTACCTGATGGAAAATTTGAAGCACCTTTTTTGCGCTTTCTTATGTCATAATATGAAATGTATGAAGTATATAGACCTTGATCTTCAGAAGCTTAAGAAAACTTCAAGTTGTAAGCCAAAATGTCATCAGAAAAAGAAAAATCTGATATAAAAATTGCTATGTAAGGCCACTGTTTAAAGTTCTTTCATGTACAGACACTATACAATTCATATACTTTGTTTTGTTTTTATTTCATAAGCAAAACTTTCAACATAGAAACGTCTGGATATAACTCAGTTCTCTATGAAACCATGCTCAGAGAAAAATGCATCAACAAATAATGCCCTTTTGAGACTTTTTGCAAAAGAAGCTGTAGTAAATACAACTTTTAAATTGAATACTGTAATTTAAAAGCAATTGTTAAGTGTAAAAAAGTTGCAGCATTCCACTACAGAAAAATAAAATTATTTTATCAAGAAAGTTACAGTATTAGTGCTTTAGTGCCAATTCTAACTCTTGATAAAAAGATGCTCCCAAATATCATCCTGTAGTGTCGTTTCCATTTATAACAATTTCCGATTAGACTGCTGGGTTAATGTTTGTATATTCCTATTGAGAGAAAACAGGAGAAATACAGTCTTCAAAAGAATTGTTGGTTCAAACATCTGAGCTAGAATTTTGTTTACACTCCAATTTTCAAAATATTTTAATTAATATATTACCACTTGTACTCAAGATCCCCACAAAGCTATATATATATATATATATATATATGTGTGTGTATATATATATATATATATATGTATATTCCCAAAGACAGAAAGTAACAACAAAACACATCAAAGCAGCTATCAAATGGTGTCAGTAGGACAAAGAAAATATATGGCACTCAATAGGCTAGTATTAGTAAGTTAATGAAAATAGCATTTTGCTACTTGGGTGAGTTTCACTGGGGACATCCCTGACAGAAAAATCAAGACTCTTAAACCTTAGTCCCTCAAAAACAGACCCCAATATGACACGCACACAACCTTTTATCTTTGTCATCATATGGCATCTAATTCTAAAACTATATGGACTCTTCTAGCTTGACTGATAACAGCAGAGAAAGCTATTAGAGGGGTTAAAGCTTTCTTGCTTTTGGATGGTTACCTACATTGTACGAAGATGTATGGTTTCAATAAACACAGGAAAAGGAATTCACAATAAGACTACGACTTAACAAATGTGAATTCTATATTGTGATGCTATGCAAAATATTAAATTACCAACCACAAACTGGACACAGGACCATGCAATTAATAAAAGAGCAAAAATGGTAGAATGGCATGTTTTTCTGGGACATTAAAAAACTTATTAATACATATAGCCTTACCTTTTACTAGGATCTTATATTATTAAAACTGAAAGAAATTTAAAAGTTTATTTATTTTTTGGCACTTATATTCGTATGGAAATGTCTAATTCCAAACAAAAACAGTACTGATAGAAAATTCTTCTATTTTGATTAATGAAATGTTCAAAATACATACATATATATTTTTGTCAACATCATTCCTTTAAATAGAGCCAGAGTTCACTGTATCTTATTTCTTTACTCATTATATAATATAAATAGCATTTACATTGATCTTCAAATATCTGCTGCCTACTAACAACTTTAAAAATAAACATTAACTGTAATAATTCTGAAAAACTCCTTCAACTGAAACATTTTGTTTGTAAAAATGTATAATTATTCTGCATCACCTTTGCCCCTGACATGGCTTCTTCTACACTCACTCTCAGACTGATCCCGACATTCTTCCCATTATTTGAAAACCTATGTTAAGTAGAATGTTGAACTAGACATATGAGTACCACCCTCGTCGAGGTATTCATAACTTGACACTTGTGTCACTGTAAGTATTTCCTTGTTGGTCTTCCTCCATTTTGCCTCCTCCTGGAACCTGCCCACCAAGCCCTCAACCTCAGACAGAGTTTTCTCCTCCTCAGTCTAGGAAGACATCCTACTGCCACCACCTCGTGTCCTTTCTTTTCTACCTAGATTTCCAGGTCCTCTATAATTTGCATGCTCCTATCTCTATCCAACTCTACATTCTACTGACAAAAATGGATCTTTGGCTGTAGCTGCTTCTAAGTCCTGCTCTCCAAGACTCAGCTTCCAACTTCCCTCCTCGGTAAAGACAGTAGAAATCACAGTACTTAGCATATACTCCCTGACCATTTCTAACATCCTGATCTTTTCTACCTCTCTTCAGGCACTTCCACCTGTGGAAACAAGCTCTTCAAAAATATGGCTGTGCAGAAAAGAGTGAACATGGCATATCTGACCACTATCCTTTGAAAGGCCTGCTTATAAAGCTGGACTTTGGCTGGCATCTAAGAATTTAGATTTCAGGAGGTTCTCACCATCGATGAGTGCATAAATTGTGCAAACAACATGGTCTATGCTGAATATCTGCTTTCTAGCTCAGAATCTGGAATGTGGTATGTGCCTGGCGGGGGGTACCTACATGACCACCATTGAAGTCTCTAACGAGATTCCCTGCTTGGCAACATTTCACACGTGCCCCCAAAGAGCTCACTGTCTGGGGTCTCAGGCACATCCTATGTGACTCCACTGGGATGGGACTCTTGAAAACCTGTACCCACTGTCCTCTGAACTTTGTCCGTGCACCTCTCTGTGCTGATTGTGCTGTGCAGCACTCCACTGAACATCACAGCTACCAGTGCCACCACAGGCTGCATCCTCTGATTCCTCCTAGTGAATCACTGAACCTGGGGTGGTTCTCAGGACCACTGACACAACTGCTGCTGTGCGCTAACTTTTTAGAGATATATATGTGTATGTGTTTGTGTGTGTTGTGATTAGATTCCATTCAACAAGCATTTTAAAAGACAGACTGTATGAAAGGTAGTAGGGGGAGACACGACACTAATGAAGTTCCCTCTATCCTCAAGGAGTTGATCACCTATTTGGGGAAACAGAAAGGTAAGAAGCAACAGTTAGAGACCAAATGAAGCAAGAGCTAAAGAGGGGGCTTTCATAAGACTTTACAGTGGATCTTAAAAGGAAAGAGAGGGTTTAATAAGGAAAGAATGGGGATCTGGAGGCAATTTCTAGTCAAGAGAACGGCATGAACAAAGATAAAAATACATGAAACATATTATGCTCCAAAAAACAGAAGGCACATGGGAAAATGTGGTTAGAAGGGCAGCTTAGAGCTGGACCTGGCTAACAAGTCTGGTCTCTTTAATAGGCAACAGAATCCTTGGAAGATGTTTGCACAAGAGTGATATGACTCAGACTGTGTTTTGGGACAATTAACTGTGTTACTAGCAAAGGGACAGAATAAACAAATCACAGGAGGCAAGCAAGCAAGTTAGAGGCTCCAAAGATTCCTCGAAAAGCCCTGGAATACCTAAGAATGCAACACACAGCAAAGGTGGCATTTCCAGTTGGGGAGGGGGGAGGACAAATTACTCAATAAGCAGTGTTAGAAAAACTGACTATCCATTGGGAAAAAAAAGTAGATCCTGACCTTATATTGTTTCATAAAAACAAATTCTAAAAGGAACAAGTATTTATATACTGAAAAAATTAAGCATAAAATTACTTAAAGGAAACACAGTAAGGTATTTTTATAAGCACAAACATGATACGAAATCTAAAAGCCATACAGGATTAACCCGACAAGATGCATGAAAATTTACCAGGTCGGTAATGTAAAAGCCACCATAAAAGCTGACAAACATAAAATAAATAGCAGCAAAATGCATGACAGGTTAATGCCCTCAGTAAATCAAAAGCTCCCACAAAGCAGTAAGAAAAAGTACCAACCCTCAACAGAAACACTGGTAGAGATTAGAAATAAGGAAACTAAGGGAAGAAATACAAATGACCAATAACACATAAAAAATATGCTCACATCATTAGTAACTGAAGAAAGGCATATGAGAACTATTTTCTGCTATTAGACTGACAACGGGTAATAGAGATTAATAATGTGGAGTGCTGGCTAGGCACAGGTAAACAGGCCCTTTCATGTGCTTCTGGTGAAAACAAAAATGAGGCAAAATGAAGCCATGGCAAGATACCAAAATGTCAATGTGCTCAATTGCTTTACAGAAATAAAGAAAATCTGTAAACTATCCCTAGGTCATCAACAGCAACATTACATCCTGCGCCTGCAATGCAGGAGACCTGGGTTCGATTCCTGGGTGGGGATGATTCCCTGGAGAAGAAATCAGCTACCCACTCCAGTATTCTTGCCTGGAGAATTCCATGTGACTGTATAGTCCACGGGGTCACAAAGAGTCGGACATGACTGACTTTAACTTTTTAAAGTCATCAACAGAGGCATGGTTAAGTAAGTCAGCAATCATCAAACTGGGGTAACACATACTCTTAGGGGTATATGACGATTTTCCAGAGTGTATGTGGATACAGACAGTTTGGAGGGGATTAATTTCCAGACCTTCAAATGCTCAATGCTTGCTTTCCAAAATTAATCTGCTTGTACAATTGGTTAAGGCTGATTCCCTTCCTTTTTATACTAGAAAGATACACTTTCTTATCCTGAATCTTAGTACTTCGCATTACCTGGGGCCCCTCCCCCCAAAAAGGGGCGCCTGGAAATACTGGTGATGGTGTCAAGAAAGTGAATCAACCCTAGTAGCTAGTAATAAAGATCATACTTCTGCAAGTCAGATACTTTCCATTTCTTTGCCTTAGTTTAATTGTAGGAGGACAAAATCAACTTGTCAGTAAAAGAATATTCAAATATTTTTTGATAACAGATCACTAAGTGATTTTCTGGCCTATAATTCAGAGTGAGTCCAAAGAACTGAGTGGCACTGCTATAACAAAAGTCCTTTCATTTCCATCTATACAATCCTATAAACAAGGTTTCTCTGGACTTATATCTACAAAAAGAAAAAATACATTAGAATCGATAATTGAACAATATTATCCTATACATTCTCTAGTAATACGTAATATTTATCTGTGAACACAAACTAATTGAAAAGAGAAATGCACTTCCAATAAAACTTTTGTTTAATCACTACTTAACAAAATCTGTAATATATTTATAATATTGTGATCGGCTGTAATGTTAATTCAATCCAACCTAACAGTCATAGAAATCTATTAATATTATCTGTCAAATTTTATTTGGTGAGCACTAAAAGACTTTCAAAGATAAAAGTCTATGGGGCAAATGGGATCCAAATTCAAGGTAAAAAAAAAGGAATGATGTAGTATTTCTCACTTGTTAAAAGAGCCTGTCTGCATATTTTAAAAAATGGATGCTAGTTATCAAATTCCTGTGGTGTGCAGGTTCACCGAAGAGATTTAAAATGATGATGTAACAATTTTACTTAAGATTCTCTATTTATAATATGCCATAAATTATATCCTATATAACAAATTAAAATTATGATAAAAAAGTTTTAGATACTGACCTAAATATGTACAGGGAGGTAGATAATTTTTTGTACTTTTAGGGTATGTAAGCAAAAGAAGTTTGAAAAACACTGAAATAAATAAGACATCCACAGAGGGGAATGACATGCAGTGAATTGGAGCAATAGATGAGTTAAACAAATAGGAACACCTGGACAATTGTAGTCAAAGAATTAGGAGGGTGAGGAGGACAAGTCTCTAGCCTGGCTGGCTAGCTGTGAGAGCTACAGACCCTGAGGAAAAATCAGTGGTCTTGGGAGAAGAGCAAATGTGATTTTACTTTTAACACCTTGAGATATAATTCACATAACATACAGTTCACCAGTTTAAAAATACAATCAATGGTTTTTAGTGTATTCACAGAGTTGTGCAACCATCACAATCATTACTTCTTTTGTGCCCCAGCATCCTTCAACTCAAGGGATACAGCAGGAGCATAATAGGTTCTTGTTGATTCATCTGATCTTGGTTCCTGCTCTATCTTTGTACCTCATGACCCCTGTGGTTTTTTTCCAACCCCAAAAGCCATGAATCCTGGCCTCTAGCTTCCTCCCCACAGTGTTTCTTTTTGCTCTCTCCTTCCCCTCTTCCTATCCACATTAGGAAGAGCTCTGGTAGGCACCGAGCTGACAGGTACCTGGGGATGCCTGGAGTTTAGGACACTGAGGAGCTGCATGTTTTCCTGACCAAATGCAGTTTTTCAGAGGCAAAGTTCCCAGAGGGGGCTTCATGAATTCGGAATAGCTTCTCCGTCCTAGTCTGGTACATAGTCAGACAGACCCTCAAGAGTTTCTGGAAACTTTCTATGATGAGCAGAGAATATTTCATGGGGGCACTTATGAATGATAGTGGATAAAAGTCTCTTTCCAGGGGGTAACAGACACTTCTCCTACCTCCTTATCTTCTAGCCCAAGCAAGAATCCAAGACAAAGGAAACATAATAAAATGGAATTTGGGTGCCAGAATTGGGTTAATATGACAAGTGCATGATGAATGAGGAGGAAGCATTTTAGTTTTGCATGTTCCTAACACTGCCTTGGAATCTTACTACTCTGTAGGCAGCTAGGAAGCTAAAGTAGTTTTAGGGAAGCCATGACAGTTCTGGTAAATGGACAAAATATATCAGGAGTACATCAAGGATCTCCCCTACTCCTCCTTGAAGCTGTTTGGTACTGGACACAAGAAGCACATGTCTGATGGCACAGTAACCAGACTGTACTACAGATGAACATAAGAACGTCAAGCTATGAATGATAAGCCTCGACAATTCAACATGGCCGGAGAGTGAGGAATCCAGACAAGATCACTGTAAACCTTCCTGGTGGACTTTGAGGCATATGCGAATACACTGGTTCATATCTAATTTCAGAATCAATAAGCTCCAGGACACCTAGATTAATTAATTAACCAAGCATCCTTAATCTATCTGGTGGTCTAATAATGAAAATAATGAACTCCTTAGTAGGGCAAAAAAGCCAAAGCAGGGTACAGATGCTGCCTGGACTAAGGTTTCTCTCTAGGGCAGGAGCATCAAAGTCCACCAACCCCCCCGCCCCCCCCAATGCTAAAGCTTGGTATGAAGCAACACTGGAAGAAACCAAAGACTCCAGGACTTCACTTCTTTTCTTTAGGGCATGAAAGTCAAGGTAAAATGGAGGACTAGGTCTAAACTACCAGTTGGTACTATGCAATGGGATTCCAGAGTAGCACAATACTACTAGGACATCTCTAAGGCGAAGTTAGTCTTAAGTACCTTAGTTCAGACCCTGATAGAAACAGAGCAGTTTGTGATGCCTCATTCCTTTCCCTAAAGTTCAGGAGAGTGTGGAGCCCAACTGTCAAGAAGGGTGCTAATAGTAGGGTGCTTGATTTCATGCCATGCTCAGAGAGGTAGACCTAAGTTCAAACAAAAATCTATAGAAAGTCTGGCTATGACTTGCAGGCGTTGACAGTAGCCATGCTGGAAAAGCTCATGTCAAAGTAGCTACTACACAAACATCTTTGAAGTAGTATCCAGAATGGCAGGCCCAAGAAAAAGAGTAGTAGACACTTTTATTTAAAAAATCTAGTGTATGGGGACAACTTCAAAAGCACTCAGTTGGCAGTGAAATGCAAGAAGGTGAAGCCACGATCTGCCTGGGACCCTAACTACAATTGCTATATCCTAGATAATACAAAAAGCCTAAGCCCTAAAGACTGGAGACCCATAGCAGGTTGTGGCTCTTTCCAGGACAAACTTGTTATGTCCTAAGATGAAGGTTTGATGTCTGGTTTCTACAGGCTGTTAAGTGAAGCTGGCAGGCAATGTGGTCTGGAAGAACAGGGTGGCCAGCAGGAGTGAAACAAGCTGAGGCAAAGAAAAGGATGAGGAAACTGGGCAAGTTCACTGAGCATACAGACACTGCAGGCTGAGGCAAACAGTCAAGTGAGCACTCAGGAGCCCAAAATCATCTAAAAAACATGGGTAAAAATGGAGCTAAGTGAAGCTAACACTCAAAGTTCTGCACAGAGCTAACAAAAGACAAACATGCTATGTACATGAAACCCAACCTTGCAATTGAGGAAAAGGCTTGCCTCAGCCTTCCTTCTCGAGTGGGGATCAATGACCAGCTTCCCTGAGAACAGCCAGGCTGCCACCTTTGACTGGGGACGCATGCCTAGAAGATCTGCTGCAAAGAAACTTGTCACATGAGACAGGAAGAGAAGCAGCACCTTGATCCAACATATGGAAGTGTACGAGAGGGGGAAATGGCTTCAGTCACTCTCCCATTTTTAAACAAGAGACAGCTTTCATAACACTAAGAGTGATAGACACAGTGAAATTAAAAACCTCTTTTAAGGTAGTCAGTTAAAATTGAAGGGTGGAAGAAGTTACAGAAGATTCTATTCAACTGGAAAACTTCAATAAAAAAATCAACTGCTAACTCCATTCTACTGGTCTACTTATTTTGAAAAATAAGTTTTACTAAAATCACTAAGTAAGCTCAGTGTAAAGGCTTTATCAGCATGAATATTTATGGGAACACTGAAGGTTAGAAAATTTATAAAGCTACAACTACATTATTTGATAGTAACATTAGATATATATCTACTTCTCAAAAGAAAATATTAGCCCCAAATTATTAACAAAAATGAGTCAAAAATTGACAAACACACCTCACATAACAGTAAATGCTACTGTTCTCATTTCAAATATTTGCAAAAGTTATTTTTATATAGTTATGCTGCATTTTCAAATGCCAACATGGCCAAGTATAAATAAAATCAATCCACAACTAAAGAGTACACAATCCAAATTATCAAGTAGTAAAACTTTTTATTAATAGTAAGAGTTAGCATATAGTAATGATGGTTGCACAGTGCTGTGAATATAAGTAGTGCCACTGAATTGTATAAAAATGGTTAAAATGGCAAATTTTGTTATATGTATTTTATCACAAAAAATGAATGGGGAAAAAAGAAAAGTTAGTGTATTTTGTAATCATGTGCCATTTTTATGTAGTCAATTCAGTATTTTTTGGTACCTAGAAAATTCACATTGTATTAGGTTAAAATGTATCAGATACTAAGTCTTTACCCAAATTTCCATTCCAAAGATTAACCATAGGACAGAAATTCTGAAGTAAACTGTTCAAACAGCTGGCATATTTAAAGTATTTGAGGTATAACAGCTAAGGCATTTTAAAATTAAGTGGTCTCACAAATCTATTACCATTATTCCTTTAAATTTTTCTTCACCTATCATGCAATAAAAACTTTGATATGTAGGCTGCTTCTTAGGTCAAAATTTAATTTAAAAAACTGAATTTATCTATTAAACATAGATACTTTAGGAGTTCTAAAGTCACTCAACATTTTTAAATGATAATAATCCAACTAACCTTTTTTTCCCTCAGTAATCTTTCTCTGAATTTATTAGTGATAAATCCCCTTGGACCAGCGAACCGTAAACGCTGATATTTAGCCTGAATGTACAAGCTCTTCTGTACTAGGTCTGATTTATGTTGGAAATGAAATCTGCCACCTCTAAAGTTGGTCTGTAAAGGAAAAAAATAATTAAATGTTAAAACTACAGCTTCCAAATCTACTTTATAAGAAAGGAAAAAAGGTCTGGAACTTAGGGCTGCCCTTAATTCTAGGTATTACCGGTATTTAAAGGGAAAAGGTGAATGATGGTAATAAAGTATGTTTTCCTCAAATTAGCTTCATAGTTCATTTTGTAGTAATAATTTTAAAAATATTTTATATAAAATGAATTTTTTAAACTACTAAGTTAAATTTTTTAATTCTTGAAATTTACCATACTAAGAAAAATACAACTTTAAAAATTTAAGAATTATTGTTCTGATTCATAGTGAAATATATCAAATCCCAAATGGGAGGAGGAAGACATTAAGTATCAATCTATTTGAGAATCAAAAACTCTCTTAACTTTATCCTTGTCAGTAGTTTTGAGTCAGTCTTTCTTTACCATAAAAATCCCACTACTGCACATATTTCCAAGATAAGAGCTATACTTAACAAGACATTTCCTGGCCTGTATACTGTCCAGTATTACAACAGACATAGAGGACAATGAGTATTTGTATGTCCCATGTGGGAAATATACAACTGGTATCTTACAAAGGAGTAATTTTTAAAATTAAGTAGATTCTTCTTTCTACGATAATTTCACAAATGGGTACATTATGCATAATGAAGAAGAGTTTATTACAAAGTATTTATGCCAGGCCTATTATTTTCTTAAGGCTACAAACAATTTCAGGTAAAACAGAATTATAACTTGATACATCAGAACTAATCTTGTGATTTACATTCCCATTTTTACATATCTAATAAGGTGATTACTATCTGACTCTGAATTAGTCCAATTTATGTAAAAAGTAAATTTTAATGAAATAGCTCCTTTTCTTAGGAAGGATTATTTCATCTCCTTTTAATGTTAAAGGATTTTCCCTTAAGGAGAATGGATAACAGGAAATAGATCTTACAAGTCTTAGAAGAATTACTACAATCAAGTACATATAACCAATGAGAAGTGCAACATGTAGGAAACACTTAAATCTGAAAGTCTTTCTACACTGTCTCTGAGTTATGCAGACATTACATTTTTAGTTTTATACCTCATTGCTCAAGAGATTAGATGATGATATGAAACATGTTTAAATAGTCTATGGCCCTAACCATTATCTTTTAATATTTATTTATTTGGCTGTGCTGGGTCTCAGTCGCAGCATACGGGATCTTCACTCTTCACTGCTGGCAAGCAGGTTCTTTTAATTATGGCATGTGGGATCTTCTTAGTTGCAGCATGTGGAATCTTTAGTTGTGGCATGAGAACTCTTAGTTGCAGCATGTGGGATCTAGGTCCCTGACCAGGGATTGAACCCGGGTCCCCTGCATTGGGAGCGTGGAGTCTTAGCCACTGGGCCATCAGTGAAGTCCCCTATTTTTTATTTTTGAAAACCTAATGTCACACATGCTTTTAGGTACATGAAACATTAGTTAAAAATTTTATCTAGGCAATGGCTACAAATTGTGTTACTCCCACTGAAAAAAATCTTTCGACATCTAGAAATTTTGACTTAGGAAGCCAAGGTATTAATAGAAGATCACTCAAGTACACTCCTAGTCTATGGTCTGGAGATCATTTACACTACCTTTCTGGTCATACTAACTTCCTCCTAGTGAACCAACTGCTCTAGCCAAACTGCCTGCTACTTTCACCAAAAAAACCTCAGGTTCTTTTCTGTTTTAGGGGAGGGGAAAGAGACACTGTTGAGTGGAAAAATAAGAAAAAAGGATTTATCATAGGTAGGAAATTCAGTCAAAATGGATTTTAAAAGCACCCCAACTTCTGAGAGCAAGGAGAGAGAAATATAATACGTTGCACTGTAATTCTTATTCCATGTTTGCGGCATGAATTGTTTTAGAAAAACAAACATGTCAGTTGATTAAAAGTAACACTGACATCAGACATAGCTGTACAAGTAATTGTAATGCAATGAAATATGTTTTAACAAAGCATGTGGGACCAGAGACTTTCTCTGATGATCTGGAAGACCTGTGAGGGCTGTGTGTCTAAGGGCAGGGTTTCTTAATTGGTGAATCCTGGAGAAGGTTCTATAACTATGTGATTACATCTTAGAGGTAAAGGGGCAGGATCTTGTCTGCCTCTCCACCTAGAGCCACTCCATCTAGATCTGTTTTATGTATTTGAGTTTCCATGTAATATTTGAAAAAGGGTTCCACTGGTAAAATATATTTGAAAATCAAATTCTGAGGAAAGGGGTCATCATTAAACTGATTACATTTAACTATAATCCAGAAATACTAAAGCTATTACTTCAAACATCACATAAAGAGCTTTTAATTTACTAACACTTAGAACATTATGTTCTAAAGCAAAAACCTAAAGCAGGAATTAGATGGAAAATAGCACTCTACCTTAAAAGGTCTTCTAAAGCCTCTTGTATTTTGATGGCTTTTCTCACCTTCAAATGGTCTGTGAGTAATGATATCTTTTCTCTGCACAGGATAATTCTGCATGAAAAAAGTTATTAGTAGGGGTTAATATATTTTAAATTTTATTTTTAAAAGTTCAACATTCAAAATATACACAAATTTTTTTTTTGACTGTGCCTCATGGCATGTGGGATCTTAGTTCCCTGACCAGGGATCAAACCTGCATCCCCCTATACTGGAAGTGCAGTCTTAATCACTGGACACCCAGGAAGGTCCCCCAAAATATACATTTTAAATGCATGGGATTAAGAACACAAAATATGTAGCATGTAGCTTAGCTGACGAACACACACACATCTTCCTTCATGTAACCTATGCTAGTTTGTGAAGGGCTAGTTCAATTCATGAATGTGAGAAGCGTTAACAAAATACACACTTTTGCATTAACACAGTCTGTGACTTTTAGAAAATGGGACTGTAAATCTAGTATTTACTCAAGGCATCCAGAAGAGAAACAAACTCATTATTACTAGGAATTGCTAGAGTTCCCACTGACCGAGAACATAAATTCTCAATGCTGTAGGAGGCAGGTATTGCTGATTCATACTCCTGCTTTAATTAGATGCTCCTGCCATGACTAAGAAAGTATCAGAAAGCAGTGTGTGTGTGTGTGTGTGTGTGTGTGATTTTTATATTCTCTATTTTTCCACTTATTACCTATCAATACATTTTTTGTTTTATTTTAGGAGTTGCTTTAATGTTTATAGCTGTTGTTTAGTCGCTGAGTCGTGTCTCTTTCACAACGCCATGGACTGTAGCCCACCAGACTCCTCTGTTCATGGGAATTCCCAGGCAAGAATACTAGAGTGGTTGTTGCCATTTCCTTCTCCAGAAGGCAGAGTATTAAGACTGTAACTACAAAGAACCTGAAGCCTTTGATGGAAACACAGAAGATGGGCCCATTCTGAAGATGGGTTTCTTTTTCCAAAATCAATAGTCATAACTTTCTATTTATTCCATTTGCAATGGAGTCTACTTTTCACAAATTTTCCTCGTTCACATCTTTATTTCTCTCCCCAGTTCAAGAAAAGTCATATAAAATCCTTTTCCTAGTAGTCATCTTGAGTTTATACTAAGTCTATATATTTGAATAAGTGCAAAAAGACACATGTAATGAGATGAGACTGCAGGGGACCTTGAGAGGGAGGAGGTGTATTCTGTACATGAAGGGGCCAGTGGGAAGACTATACCAGGCGGCTTCTGATGAGGCTCCAAATCATCCCCACAGTCCAGTATCCAGGCCCCTATGTTACTGCCTTTGAATGTGGGCTCTATCTAGTGACTTGCTTCTTACAAATTGAGTATGGTCGAAGTGATGGGATATCACTTCTGAGATTAGGTTACAAATAGACACTGCTTCCATCTTTCTAGCTGTCACCTGCCTGCTCTTATGGAAGGCAGATGCCATTCTGTGAGCTGTCCTTTGAAAAGGCAAATCTTTAAAAACAGAAAGTAGATTAGTTGTTAGCTGGGGGTGGGAACAAGGAATAAACAAACAGGCTTGAGGGATCTAATAACGGTGATGAAAATGTTCTAAAACTGGATTATGGTGATGGCACACATCTTGGTAAATTAATAGAAGATCATTAAATTGTATGCCTTCCCTGGGTGAATTTTATGGTATGTAAAATAAGCCTTAATAAAGTTGTTCCAAAAAATTTAAGAAACCTAGTTGTATAATACATGCAGTAAAATCTTGCTAAATCAAATGAGATGATCATTTATTTGGTCATAACTATAAGCCTTAACAGAATCTTAACACTGAACAACAGAGTCATAATACTTATTAATGAACAATTACAAACATGAAAAACATTGGTGGTCCATGTACCTAAAGATACATGTGAGAAGGAAAATGGAACATACAAAAATAAAAAAGTTGGGAATACAATCTTACTGAGTAAGGTTTCTGAATAAATTTTCTAAAATTTGATTTTTCAATAGATGTAGGTTTTTGGAATCCATCAACATGAGTATCCTTTGACCTTGAAAAACTGGAATGCTGATCACTCCTAATAAAATGAAAGAGAAAATAAGAATCTTTTATTAGTTTTTGTTTATCCAACAAATAAGCAAGAGAAATCAAATTACACCCTTCGGAAACAAACCAGCATGACAGTAGAAAACAACAACAACAAAAAACTCAGTTATCTATTGCTACTAAAATTACAAATAATAGTTACGAGGGCTAAAACCCTCATTTCCTCATTTTTCTATGAACGTTAGTTAGCCAAATTGGAAGTTAGCAACAGGGGAAAAGAGTATTCTGAGGACCAGGGTTCTTAATCTGGAATCCACGACAGGCTTCCTAGGGCTGTAACTCTTGAAATCATACACAGACTGTATATTTTCTGAGGGAAGACAGCCATGGCTCTTGAGCCTTTGGCAGCACTGGACAGCCCCCCCGGGCCAACAGACTCAGTGGCTAAAGTTCCAGAGAAGAGACGGGTGAGCAACTTGGGCCTTCTCACTGGTAGAGCTGGGGCCTCTGTACTCTGGCTCCCCTCTCCTTAAGTGAGTTCTGGAGGCTCCCAAGGGTTATTCCTGACCAGCTCTACCCCAGAGGGAGGTCCTTCCCTGGCTTCTCCTCTGACCCCTGGCCTCATTCCCAGAGCCCTCTCTTTCTGTCACATCCCGCCTCTCCCACAGTGCTCCTCACCCTTCCTGCTCTGTGGCAAACAGCTCACAGCTTTGGCCTCACTGCAGCTTTGCTACAGGACCCCACTGACACAAGGACAAAATCCACACTCCCCCTCACTGACCACCAAGGCCCTTCTGGTCACACCCTTGCTGCCTTGGCCAGCTGCTTCATCCTAATCTCCCCAACACCCAAACCAAGCTGTGGGAACATCAGCTCCACGCAGCCCCTGGAACACACCACAAAATCGTCTGCCTCTACACACTGGCCCATCCAGTTCCTCTGCTGCAATTTCCTTCCAACTCAGATCAAACTCAAGAGTGAGCACCACTTGAACCTGTTCGAAGAAGGCTTTTCCAGTCCCCTCTGTGGTGGACTAGGTGCCCCTGCTCTGTGCACATACAGCATTTTGGGGTCTTCACAAGTATCACGTGCATTTGTAACTACTGGTGTGCCTTCTCACCAAGCAAGGTACAATTTCTTCAGAGGAGACACTGCCAATAGCTTGTTTTATAGTCCCAGCTCTGATCCTGGAACCTGACATGAAATAGCCACATAGGATTTTTTAAAATGTCAAGAAACCTTTTATTCTGTCAAAATGCTCATGATATGATAATAAGTCAAAAAGAACAAGGGGCAAAATAAAATACTGAGGATAATTTCACTTATTTAAAATATACACATATATGCCCAGAAAAAAATGACAGGAAATGTACTAAATATTAACGGTAATCATACCTGTACTACTACTACTTTAAACAAAACAATGGACTTTAAAAAATCCTCTTTACAAAGCATGTATCTGATAAAGGGGTAGTATCCAGAATATAAAAAGAATTTATTCCTCAATAATAAAAATATGATAATCCAGTTTAGAGATGGGCAAAGGATTTGAATAGATATTTCTTCAAAGAAGACACACACAAAAGCACGTGAAAAAAATGTATGACAACATTAGTCATCAGGGAAATGCAAGTCGAAACTACAAGTAACTATCTAAAACCCATTAGGATGGCTATAATCAAAAATATGATAATACCAGTCTTCACAGCAGCATGGTTTACAATAGCCAAAAGACAGACACATGTTCTTCAAAAAATAAACAAAATGTGGCATATCCATACAATGGAATATTATCCAGCCTTATAAAGGAATAAATTATTTTAATGAAATACTGGCACATGATACAACATGGATGAAAACATTATGCCATGTGAAATAAGTCAGACTGAAAGGGAAAATTATTGCATGATTCTATTTATGTATGTATGGACTATTCAAAATAGGCACATTCATAGTGATGTCAATACAGGCATGAGGGGCTAGGAGTCAGGGGGATAAGGTGTCACTGTTTAATTTGTATTGAGTTTCTGTTTGAGAAGATTTTAAAGTTCTGGAAGTGTTGGCTGCTGCACAACACTGTGAATGTACTTAATTCCAATGAATCTTACACTTAAAACAGTCAAAATTCAGTGTTCTAAGTCAGTGCTCAGAACAGTGACTAGAACAGACATTAATATATAAATATTTGTTGAATATATGAATAAAAGATCTTTACAAAGTTAACTCTAGTTCAGTAGATACAGATTGTTACAATAGCAAAAATAAAAACTGATGTATTCTAAAACCCGCCTAGATAAAAAGAAAATCTAGGCAGTTTGATGTTCTCATGAAGTCTACCTGATAGTATTTTGAATCTGCTTTATCACACACATACCACGCCCCTCTAACACAGCACCTCAGTGACACTATAGGGAACTTATTAATGCTGGTGACAAGTGGGAGAAATAGTGTGTAAGGAGGAGACATAGAGACTTTAGGGTAAGAAGCCAGTTGGAAGTAGGAAAAGACAGAGAACAGCAGGGTCTTAGAGATGAGACAGAATGCCCTGGTGTGAAAGATTTGCTTGCTTGGGAAAGATTTTAAGGCATCAGGGAATAAAAAGTGATCCAGATCTAAATGCATTATGATTTCAGTGTCTCTGTCCTGTCTACACCTTTGGAAAATCTTTCATTCAACAAATATGAACTGAGCCCAGGCAGTGGGGATACAGTGGTGAGCAAACACAGACACAGAGCCTACATACAACTTTTAAGGGAAAAAAAATTGCATAGGAGAGAAACAGTTATATCCTATGACTTATAATTTTGTAATATTTCATTTCTTCTGAATTTCTATGGAAATCTATACACTGACTTGATTTAAAAGGTTTATGCAAAAATATTAGTGAGGTCAATTTCAATAAACTGAATTTCTATAAAAGGATAAAATAAAAACTTTTTCTTATGTTAACAAGGAAACTGAATTAGGAAAAAGTGAGAGATTAAAGGTTCTATATTATCTTATTTAAAAGATGAACAATAACAGCTGCTGGTGAGGATGTGTTGAAAATGGAACCCTCACACCTTGATAGTGAGAATGTAAAATGGTGCACCCACTATGGAAACAGACTGGCAGTTCATCAAAAAGTTAAACACAGTAATGATATGAACCAGCAATTCCAATCCTAGGTATATACAGAAGTGAAAACCTATGTCCATACTAAAACTTGCATACAAATGTTCACAGCACCATAATTTACAAAAGTCAAAAAGTGGGAACAATCCAAATAACCATTAACCAGTGAATGGATAAACATGTGGTGAATCCATACAATGGAACATTACTCAGCCAGAAAAGGATTATTTATGCTCAATGTGTGTGTGTGTGTGTGTGTGTGTGTGTGTGTGTGTGTGTGTTCAATCGCTTTAGTTGTGTCTGACACTTTTGTGACCCTATGGACTATAGCCTGCCAGGCTCCTCTGTTCATGGGATTCTCCAGGCAAGAATATTGGAGTGGGTTACCATGCCCTCCTCCAGGTGATTTTTCCAACCCAGGAATCAAACCTGCGGCTCCTGCATTGCAGGTGGATTCTTTACCACTGAGTCACCAGGGAAGTCCATGCTCAACATGGAGGAACAAAAAACATTGTACTACATGAAGGAAGCCAGTCACAAAAGGACACATATTATATAACTGCAATTTTGTCAAGAAAAGGCAAATCCATACACACAGAAAGTAGATTAGCGGCTGTCAGGGGCTAGAAGGGTAAAGAAATAGGGAGTGACAACTAATTGTACAGGGTTTCTTCTGGGGGTGATGAAAATGTTTTGAAATTAGATAGTGGTGACAGTTGCACAACTTTGTGATTATACTAAAAACTACTGAATTGTTCACTTTGAAAGGGTGACTTTTATGGTAATACCTAAAAAAAAATCCTCATGGCTCCACCAAGACACACCAACCATCTAATACAAATAAAACAGCTCAACAGATCCAGCAAAACACATCTTGCCGGAAGACATTTTTGCACACAATGCTACCCTCAAAGCTAACATTAATAATACTTAATGCTGACTAGCTACTCTGCAGCTTACATGCATCACTTTACTTAATCTTCACCACCACCATGAGGTAAGTATAATTCTTATCTCTATTTTACAGTTGAAGAAAATAGAGATTAAGTAACTTGCCCAAGGTGAGTCACACAGCTAGGTATCTACAGAGCCAGGTATTGAACTCAGGTCAAACTCCATTGCTCAAGTTCTTCATCACCTCAAAGGGTAAAGATATATTCTGAAGCCTCACATGGTCTTTATAATATGTTGATTATCTAAAATCTGTTTTAAAACCCTTTTTTCTTGTACCCTGAGTTTCTTGCACTTGCCGAGTCAAGAAAAGCATGACAGAGCTTGTGTCACTAAGGGGCAGTCATACCATGTCATATAGGAAACTGGAGATCACCCATCAAGAGACAAGATTTTAACTATTTTATTTTCAATTATTTTGTATGACTCAACACGCAGTTTTGCTATCTTTTATTTAATCCCAAACTTACTGTCAGAATCAATTCCAGTTTTAAACAAGCTCTAGTATCTTGACCTAGTTACCCATAGACATGACTCAAAAGTCTAGTCAAATATATTAATTTTTGAAACTAAGGACTATGGAAATAGAATTAGCATCAGCCTTTTCTATTCACACATTCCCACTTTCTGGGAGATCCAAATAACTTAAGGACCCTTGAGTGAACTGGAAATTCTGTCCTGTTCAATTACACCTCATAATCATATGGGGTCCCAGAGTTGCCAGGAGTTCTACATAGTTTTCAGAACTAGAGATTAGCTGCGACCACTCTAGAACACTCAGAAGCCCTAAAAAGAGGTACACAGTGGGGAATGAAAAACAAGGATCTACTGACAGTCAATTTGCCACTCATGGCATTAAGTACATCACATGTGTCAGTTCATGTGATATTTCTAACCTGTCCAACATAAATTGGTTATTCTGACTTTATAGAGGAAAAGGCTCCAAAAACTAAGCAAGTTTGCCCAAGAGCAAACAGTTTATAAACTGGCAGAGGTAGGATTCAAACCCAGGTCTTCTCTACATTATCTACTACACCTGCCTCTGCTTCATGGACAGACATCCATGAAGAGTTCTGAAAGAGGATAGCAATAACCTCAGGAAATCTTGCAATATTCAAAGAATATCAGAATCTAAAAGGCAGAATGTGTCAAGAGTTTCAATCAGCTTGAGCCAAATAGTCCATATATTTGCTGGTATTTGCTCTGCTAATATTAAAAAAGCTATTACACTTCTCTCTAGATCACAAAGACCTCAAATACTACCTACCCCATAATTTTTATTGTTTCAGTGAAACAGCACATGATGACCACTGAATAACTTTGAAACATTTTAATAAACAAATGACATGGATTTGAAGGATTAAATCCCTACACTAAAGTGAAAATTACCATCACACACACAAAATTGGAAAATATGCTAAAACCAAAAGCTCTCTGATAAGAGGATGTTTTTCATCTACTGATTACCTCTCTGCAGCACTAGCTATGTGAAAAATGTGCTCATCTTCATTCTGTAACCGTTCTTTTCTCCTTCTTTCAATGTCATGTCGTAGGTCATTTGGATCTATTATTTTGACCAGAGTCTGAGGAATTTTGACAGAAGACAAACCATTCACATTACTGTTAGTTGCACAAAGACTGTATTGAACAAGAACCTTAAGTTAAAGTCCTAAATAAGTTATCTTGCACTCATCTTGTTAATGGTAGTGTAAACTGATAGAAGTATTTTGAGACAATTGACAAAACACAGTCAGAAGAGTTCATAACACTGAACCAGGAATCCGACTTCTGGGCCTCTATGCCAAAGAAAAGTCTATCTATCCAAGTATATTCAAAATGTTTTATTAGAAAAATAACCAAAAAAATGAAAGCAACTTAAGTGTGAAAAAATTTTAAAGCAGAAGGGAAGAAAAATTTATGGTAAATTTAAGTCATAGGAATAATGTACAACCACTTAAAATTATGATGATATAGACTATGTGGAAGTAAACATGGAAAAACACTGAAAACTTACTAAAACTTGCAAAGTCTCAATTATAAAAAGGTCATTGGGAGTTGAGAGATTTTACATAAAAGGAATGTTATTATAGCTTAAGTAAAAAGAAAAAGCATCCAAAATTGCATGTACTGTGACAGTGACTATGTTAAAATTCCAGACATAAGACTGCAAGACAATCAAATAATACTGTGTGATAAGTGAATTAAAGGTAATTAAAAAAATCCTCAAATTTCCTGTAAGTTCATTATAGTATTTTAACAGAAATTTCCTGAAAATATCATTGATTCAGTAAACTAACCTATCTCTGTAAATTCAGTAAAACTGTAACCATTAACATGAAAAAAATTATATATTTTATCACAAATGTATTTATTAAAATCTCTCCTCTACAAAAACTCTTCACTCTCAATGAATAATTAGCATGTTTTTTAGAACTTGATATACTTTTTCTAAAACAAGAGTCAGTTTTCTTCCCCCTTGGCTAGTTAAGATAGTTTTTCTAATTAGCAAAGAAATGAGGGTAGGGGGAGGTGGCAGGGGTGGGAACAAAAAAAAAGGTATTATTTTCATTATTTTGTTAGTTCATATTCCATAGAATCTTTCATATAATCTTCAGTAAACAGAAGGGCAGTATCGAATGAAACTAAGTTCCTTTATGCATTCCACATACAACTTAAAAATATATCCCACATGACTGCTTTGGAAAAAAAGGGTATCAAACATACTTTCTGCAAGATTTACAGTGTGAAGTTTTGGGATGAATATTAAACACTATAATTTTATGTCAATTTTACAAAGCTGTAAAATCCTTAGGGACTCTCTCTCTTAGGGAATATTTTTGTCTTTCGCCAGTGTTTTCTTTGCAACCTGGTTGAAAACTAGAATCACTTGAAGAGCTTTGTCAATTTCAGATTCCTGGGTCTCAATCATCCTTCCTCACCCACTTTACCTTTTTTACTCCCAATGACCAGTTCCCTTTCCCGTTAGTTTGTCAACAATAAGATAATCCCCCATCAAAAACCATATTCACTTACCTGTTTTGAGTCATATACCATAGTTTGTTTACTCTGAAGCTCGGCCAAAGACATATCTATTCTCCTAAAATAATAAAGGCATATTACAATTAAATAATTATGTTATACACTGATACCTCGATTCCATTAATACAGAATGGAATTTGAAATAAAGCTGGTATGTCTTGAAGGAAGAAAAAGAAATCTGCTACCAGGTGGTTTTTCATCTATGTGGCAGTCTCCCAGGACACACATATCCTGTAAACAACATCACAGTGAAGCCTTAGTAGTTCTCAAATCACTAGTCTGTGTAACCTTAAACTTGGCTCCGGTGATCTACTGCATTCTAACATTGATTCAACTCAGCTCACAAGACAGGGTGCACCACCTGCTTGGACGGGTGCCAGCAGAAGAAGACATATGTTTTCATCCGGCTGCCCTCAGAACAGTCATTTCTGAGGACATGAAGCAACCCATGATTTCAATGGCTCGACAACTGTCTTTCATTCTTCCAGTGATAACTTCAGTAGGCAATTACTATAGACACAGCAGAATCAAAGTTAGGTAGTTAAATATTTTCAAAGTCCTACACATTTAAACAATGCTAGTCATGGCTTTAATAGAACCTAGTTTATCAAAGTGTACTGGCCTAGTACCTGTTTGGATCAGTCCTATTTTAGGCAGGAAATGCTGTTCTAGAGTGTACAGTAAACCCAAGAGGCAGGCAGCATGTTCCCACATCTGTTCTGAGGCTTAATCCCATGAGTTATATGGGCGTACAATAATCAATCATTACCTGTGAATTTCTGGATCCGAGCTCAACTTAGTTTCCTTTACATCTGCAGCTTTTTTAACTTTAATTTTTGAGAAACGCTCATGCAGAGTTACTTCAGGTGATGGAAAATAATTTGCTGCAAAAGGAAACAAAACGTTTTATCTCAGTGTAAAACTGATTCCACTTAAAAGGTTATATATACAATAAGCACAGGAGTAATGGACTATTAAAACAAAAATCCAACCTGCTTTCTCTTAAAAATATGGGACCTAAACTTATTTCAGACTAATGTGTAGTGCTCACATGTTTTTCCAAACTCAAGCAACAGTAAATGGATTTATGAATGCAAAAATTCTGTTCCTATTTGGCATGCCTGCTTACTTGCCAGAAGGGGGGGAAAATATTGGCTTTTTCAAAGAAAGGACCTTTCTTCTCCAAGGTAAGAGCTTCCTCACTGTTACTATACATGGGAAGTAAAGCTGGCATAGAGCTCTACAGTTCACTTAGAGCAAATATAATTCCCAAAACAACCCTAAAACATCAAAGCAATTCTGAACAAATGCTAAATGCTATGGTTACATATCACAGAAGGCTTCCTAACACCATTTTACTTAATGTTAATGAGAGTTCATGAAGACATTCTCAAAGTGGCTATACTACAAGCTTTGAACAGAATAGAGAGAAAGATAATACACTTGACCCATGAGAAAGCTACTTTAGCAATCCTTTTCCCTAATGTACTATTCCTGTTCTGGGACAATCTCCTAGGTTTTTCTGCAATACCAGCTTTCTTTTTGCAAAGGACCACACTTCCTTTGGGTGAGAGGGGCTGGAATTGAGAAGGTGAACTGTTTCAAACTGCATCCTTTAAATATATGCCTTAGTTTGAGGGCTGCAGAGAAAATAATTCATTTGCAAAATGTTTTAAGAAGGTAAGAAAGATCAACACAATCATCTAGTAAGAAATATAAAATTAAAATTTTGAAATTCTTGAAAGATCCTAGCTTATAATACACAAAACTGCCTTAATTGCAAAGCATCAATAAAGAAAATTATTCTACATGACTAAATCTTCCAATTAATGGAAACTGGCCAGAAGCAAAAGCAAAACACAGCTCAATGAAAACCTTTAAAATATTTATTATGCAATTCCCTGACATCATAAAGTATAACAAATAATCCTGGAGTCTTTTACTGATCACTTAGCATCACCCATAAGGCACAAAGTCCCAGTAACGCCCTTGGGGGCTTTAGGAATATGACCAAATGACCTGCACTTCCAGATTTCTTGAGTTTCATATCTGGCTTTTGTTATTTCCTCCTTTCTACTGGGTTATCAGTTATTGTTTCTTTCTGCTCTCAGTACACCTGTCTTTTGCAGCAGCCAACCTCTTCTTTTATAATTTTCAATTTGCAATCTACTATGAGTTGAAGCACCAGCTTATTGGAACTACATAAAAAGAACAACTGGCTTGAATTAGTATGTGCTACTTTCTTCAACAGATTTCCTAATTAATGATCTAACTTATAATGAAATATTAATTACTATTACAATATCAGATATTTACCTATATCTAGTGAAAAGTCAGTACATTATTTTTGCGTTATCCCTAATGTATGTGCGAAATATACCAACCTTTAACTTGATGGATTATAGTTATGATTTGCTGAGCATATTCTCCTGTAGGTTTGTTTTCAGTATTCTGAGTTGAGTCAAGATGTTCAAACACTGGATGAAAGTTTTCACTTTTCCTGCCAACAGCAACCAAATCATGTGACATCTGTCTCTCTTTGGAATAGCTAGAAGCAACCCTAGAATAATTTGTAAATGTTTAACTAAATTTGAGACTATTCACTGAGAAAATAACTTATTAAAATTAATCAAGATAACTATAAAACTAAAAATGTTTATTTTTTCTTATAATTAAGGCACTAAATTGTATGCCATAAACATGTACAATAATGAGTAGGAGAAAATAGCTATAGTAGGCACAAAGTTTTGAGTTCTCTTTTTCAAATCAGAGATCATCAAATATTTGCCACTTTAATAATAAAATCTTCAAAATTCTAAGCTAAACAATTTTTACTTCAAAAAATACAGCATGGCATTGAAGACACTCAATATGCAAAATATAATCAGATTATTTTCTACTCCCAAATGTCCATAAAACTATAAAGCCAGCAAGCTGACACTATCTTGAAATATTACCATTCTTTACAAGCTGATATCAAACCTAATAATATTTCTGACTTCATAAAAATCCTTAAAGCTCTATGTCAGTAATGAGCTGAGACTAGTATTTTGAAATCAAATTCTGTTTAGCTTAATCACTTACAAAGTCTCACTGAACTCTCAGAAAATAGCCTTAGTTGTTAACAAAGTTATGATCATGAGAAGCAAATGATACTGTTCACCCTAAATATATCCTATCATTTATAAAATAACTATAATTTATAATATAACCCCAACCATCTTACCATTTTAATACTTTCTGAATCTTTATAACTTTCATTAAGCACCTTCCTGACCTTCAAGTACCATTGTAAATTCATGATTATGACATATAACAACTATTCATGCCAAACAAAGGGGCTCAGAGCTTACAAATATTAATATTTGCAAAACCTCTATGTAGAAAGTATCATGATATTGAGACAATAGATGTCATTTGTTTTGCTTTTCATCCCCGAGATTAAGCATTCATTTGAATGTAATCCTTCCAAATGTCATAATGGGAGAGTATACTTTATTCTAAGAATGCTACTCCTGCTTAAAACCACTCAAATTCTTCATCTGGAGGCAGTTTATGCGTCAGAGTAGAAAATGCCTCATTATTTATATTTATTCCTCATTTTGGACCCAAAACGGCACTAACTAGCTTATACCCATCTCACTCCTCTGCATTTAACTCTGAATAGCTTCTGGCTCTTCCTAAAAAATAAGTTCATTATCCAAAGAATTGAGATTTACAACTGCTAGGGTTCTTTATGATTATGTTTCAGAATCTAAAGATAAATCCAAAAGAGAGCCCTGAAATATGTTTTAAATAATAGCACCACTAAAAAAAATATCTCTTCATACAACAAAAATCAATCAGATGGATACATTTGGGGCTGTGGGTGTACACATGCACATATTTATTTACTGAACGTCACTTAACAGCCATGCATCTAAAACTGCTCCAAGGTTATGAAGGGCTTAAAGATATTCTTAACTGAAAATTTTAACTCTTCTAGCAAGATGGTTTTAAGTGCTTATTTTTAACTTCTCAGAGGAAAACCTTCCATCTGATTTTTCATGCTCCCTCTTCAATCAGCCCTGTTGAGATGACTCCCTGCCACGGCAGAAACATTGATGAGTGACTACGCCACAGGTTGATGCCACTGCTGTGGTTTCCTTGACTCATCAGAAAGACTTTCTTCACAAGGCCCATTTCTCCTCCCAATTTGTTCCAAGCTTCTCATTCTATATCTGATAACTAGTAAAAGACATTCAGTGGTAAATGTTAGAAGCTAGAATGGTCCTGTAACAACCTCCACTAACAAAAGAATTACATATGCTTTCTGTTCAAAGGGGTTTAATGGTACAAAAAGCTCTTCCATACCCCCAAAATAGCTTTAAATTTTCTTTTTTACAGGAGAAAAATATGATGTTTAAATAGAACTATAAAAATGATCTATCTATATGGAGAAATCAGTTGATAATGGTTTTCATTGCAGTCTGTTTCCCCCAAGACGAAACCAGCTGATAAAGGCTTCCAGTTTTTCACCAGATAATTATTAAAATTTACTTCTTGTAATTTATGATTACTGTCGTAACTCTTATCTCCCCACTCCACGTCCAACTCTCAATTCATAGAAATGCTGTGGTATACTTTGAAGCTGTACTTAATTCTTGATATTTTAGTGTTTAAACTCACCAGGTTAAAATTTTTCTCTAGAGATACCCCACAAGAGTTTTAATAAAAAATATAAGTGATCATCTTTCTAGAAAATATACATGAAAAGAATATAACTTGAAATTTTATGTTTTAAAAATAACTATACTTTTGCTATAAGGAAAAACTTCTAGAGACTTCAAAATGCAAAATGTTCTAGGTAGTCTCATTTGTAAATTTAATCACCTCTTTGTTTATATTTTAGTATTTCCTATTACTGATCAACAAGTTTACAATTTCACAAAATACCCCCAAAACAAGTAGTTAAACTGGAAAGACCAAATGTTCTCACTTGAGATGCATTTTAGACACTTTTAAAAATTAAAATATAGCCATCACCTGTATTCTATTAAATCTTCTGTGTTCTCTGTTCCCTCCCCCGACTTCACCCAGGTTTCCCTTCTCTATTTAAGGATACTTCCCCTGATGTTCATCTGAGTGTTACGCATAACAACTAACAAAACATTAAAAAAGAAACCTACATTAAAACTTAATTTCCTCTTCTCCACAGTTAAAGAACCAACTGCCTAGCAAAACAACAGTAACAAAAACCGAACCACCAAAACCAATGATAATCTCCTGCTCTCTAGAAGTTTATAATAGGTAACAAAATTCATATGACACATATAAAGTTTTCCTTTCTCAGTTTTATTCTAGCTAATAACTATCACAAAGCACTTTCCCAATTATAAGTTTGTTCTTGTCTTCCTAAGAACACATTTAGAATTTTTGGAGCTGAGGGAAATGATTAGGGAGACTGCTACTCCCTTAATTCAACATCTCATAATTATTTTTTTCACAAAAGTCCCCTAACTGGCCTTGTCAACCTCAGTGCCTTTTCAAGACACCTGATAGAAGGTGGCCAAAACTGAGCCCTCTCCCAGCAGCGAATCCTGTTACATCAGGCTGGTGGTCTTACCTTCACATCTCCTGCCCTTCTATTTCCTTTCCCTAGACTGCTCAGAATGGCACAGCTCAAAGTTCCTGGGTGTGTTTTCTGCCTTTGTTAACCTATAAAAATAAAAGGTCTTTCATCTTATCTCCACATGTCTAAAACACATCAACCTTCAAAGCCTAGTTCACATGTCAACTCCTAAAAGAAGCCTTCCCTGAATCCCCCAGCTTGGGATCATCTGAATCACATATCACACACCACCTCACACATCACTCCACTGTGCCATGGTATTACCAACACTATCTTCTTGCCTGTAAGACCAGGGGAGAAGAAACCTAATCCTATGTGGATCCATAGTCCCAGGGCACTTTAACAGATTGTCTCACAGGGTAGGTCCTCAAGAAATATCTGCTGAATAAAATGGAAAATGACTGGCACAAGATGAAATGGTGAGTTTCACCTTAAAAGATGACAGATTTCAAAATTCTGAGATCAATTTAATTTTGTTTTTTAACTTTCTTGGCTTCAAAATTTTTTAACTTAATTTAGATTAATTTTTTTCATTTTTTATAATAGAAAATCTCAAATACATTCAAAAGTTCAGCGAATCCTATGATGAGCCTATCAAGTCAGCTTCAATAGTTATCAACATATGACCAACTGAAACAGACTCACAGATCCAAGAGGAACACCCAGTTAATTTGGGCCCCAAAAGGCATAGCCAGGTGACCTGCCCAATGTTACAGAACTGCACAGTGACCCACTGGAAGACAAAGACCTATACATCCCAACATCAAACAGAAAGTTTACCTCCCTATACTAGGAACCCCAAGAGGTACTAAGAGAAGACTGAGTGAAACATAGAAATGAAAGGGAATCTTTCCTCAATTAATTTTTGAGTTTAGAAAATGTATATGAGAAATATTAGAAGGAAAAAACTCTTAAAGTTTGTTAACTCAGCAAGTTAGCAGGTTTGTTTATCACAAAAGTATCCCCACCCAGCTTATTTTGCCTCCAGCTGAACAGTGCCCATCACAGGTAAGCTTGTGTGATTAGGTTACCTTCCTTCTATCCTAGCTGTGGTTTTTCACTCTTCCCCAGCCTAAGCAGCACCTGTTTGCTCAGAGCATCAGGGCTCCAGTGTCTTCTGGGGCTCATCATCCACCTCATTTCCCTTTTAGAATGGGGAAAAACTGGGTAGGGTCAGGGATGCCCTCTCTCTATCTCTTCACTGGGAAATAAAAGGATTAAATGCAAATATGGCTGAGGCAGTCAGTCCAATGTTGCCTTCACTAGCCAACCTTCTCATTCTAGATGCCTAGTGCCAGCACCTGGGAAGTCAAAGGAGCCTCAGTGCAGGCCCACCTGCCCCAGCTTACTCTTCTCTGGAGACTGGCATGCCCTCCTTCCCTCTTTTCACCACCTTCCTAGCCTGACAAAGGTTCAGTCTCTCATCTATTCTGTCCAATAGTAAACTCAAACTCCCTTCATCTACCCCATGACCTTCAGATGTCTACAACAGTGAGTGTTTGGAGTTCATAATAACCTTAGTACAGATTTTCATATTGTGATGCTCTTAACTTTATTCTGAAACATACAATTATGACTCATATGTAACTTCTACCTCTGATAAGGTAGAAGTTTGCAGTTTCTGACAAAGTAGGTCACTAGAAGGTCACTAGGTCAACTAGGCTTCTATTTCTCAACATCAAATTACAAAATTAACAGTGTTCAGCATCTCTACTGAGGTCTACTAAAATAAAATCCTTCAAAATTGTGACTTCTATTGACTTTGTCGACAGAGGTATTAACTATGCACTGAACATTCAAGGAAGTGTGACCTAGAAGTGTGATTCTAGATACAAACTAATACCTAGAAAAATCACTAGGTTTCAACTGCACTGATAACTGGAAGAAAATGTATTAAAACCTGACCCAAGCTAAGAAAGTAAACGAATGTATAAAATGAACTGCCTTATTAGTATCTCCAAAAAAAGTGGATACTCTAGATTTTAACCAACAAATAACCTCTCTGCACTCTATGATTATTTCAGTCTTATTAAGCAGAAGAAAATCTAATTTACGTTAGGAGTTGAGAACATGGCTCTGTTGAGGGTATCAACTATCAATACCTTTGTTTTATGGACACTGCATCAGTCCACACACAACTAAATTCAACCCCACAAAATTCTCCCACAACTCATTCATCAGTTAAAAATTATAATCAAAGAGAAAGATTTTTGTTGATTATGATGCACTGCCATACTGAAAAGATGCATATATTTATTAAGAAAAATCACCAGGTGACAACCATATGTTTTCAACTGCACTGATAACTCAAAGAACATGTATTAAAACCTGACCCAAACTAAGAAAGGAAATGAATGCATAAAATGAATCACCATTTATACATTTTAAACAAATGTATAAAATGAAGAACCAAGATTCTTCAAGTCTTTAGAAAGAAGTTACAGTGAAGCTCTTTATTACACAAACCATTCTATAGGTCCTTGTCAGGTAATTCAAACATGTACCGACAGGTCCCACTAATGGGCCATGAAATTCACAAAAGGACAGTTTACAAATTCAAAACAAAAGGTACAGCAGCCTCAATTTTAGGAAGCTCACTTTTGTGACACATGATGAAGATCAAGCTTCTATTTCGCAACATCAAGTTATAAAATTAACAGTGTTCAGCATCTCTAATGGGGTGTACTAAAATAAAATCCTTCAAAATTGTTACTTCTAGCATTCTTTAAAAATGTGACAGCCAATTTATTAATTCTAATTTAAGTATAAAACATTTCATTAAATACTTAAAAATTCAAGATTTTAACTTTTATTTTTAAACTACTTTTACTATTATTTTAAAATTCAAAGTTTTTGTGATTTTACTTTTATGTAAAAATTCAAGATTTTTGTGATTTGATTGCATGTAATTTTACCTCAAAAGAAAAAAAACTGTAAACAAATATTAAATACTGAAATATGTAAAGGTGAATGTACTTGTATCTTCTGCATTTCACTTTGAAATGCAGTGAAAAATTAAGATGGAATGATAGATGAACAGATGTGATTACAGAAGTAGAGTAAAATGTTAATTGTAGACTCTAGGTGGTGGGTATATAGGTGTCGACTGTACAGTTCTTTCAACTTTTCTGTATGTCTGAACATTTTCATAATATAAGGTTAGAAAGAGAAAAATCTTAAGGTAAGATCCTTAAACTTGATGCTTAGAGCAGCCTTTATACTCTTAAGATTAAGAACTAATAGAGCCTTCATGGAGAAGGCAATGGCACCCCACTCCAGTACTCTTGCCTGGAAAATCCCATGGACGGAGGAGCCTGGTGGGCTGCAGTCCACAGGGTCGCTAAGAGTTGGACACGACTGAGCGACTTCACTTTCACTTTTCACTTTCATGCACTGGAGAAGGAAATGGCAACCCACTCCAGTGTTCTTGCCTGGAGAATCCCAGGGACAGCGGAGCCTGGTGGGCTGCCGTCTATGGGGTCACACAGAGTCAGACACGACTGAAGCGACTTAGCAGCAGAGCCTTTATACTCTTAAGATTAAGAACTAGTAGGAAATATAGCACAAAGTGTCTTAAGACATACTGTATGAAATAGAATGTTGCTGTTTAGTCACTAAGTCATGTCTGACTCTTTTGAAACCTCACGGACTGTAGCCCACCAGGCTCCTCTATCCGTGGCATTTCCCAGGCAAGATTACTGGAGTGGGTTATGATAACTATATATATGATTATATACGGTTATGACAACCATATAGAAAAGTAGCCCCAAAAAGCTGTATCAAAATATTAATAAAATGGTCCTAGGGTAGTAGGATTATGGGTGACTTCCCCCTCCCCTCTATTTGTCCAACTTCTTCTAATATAACCAAATTTATGAATTCTTTCTGTGTACATATAAATATACATATGTATATTTTAAGATATTTCTGCAAGTATAATGAATGTAAAAAAATATCAGGAAAAGGGACAGTCAAATATAACTATAAAGAAAGAAACAAATGTATTTTGCTTTTTTAAGACTATGGGTTTACCACCCTCACTTTTACATTCTAACCTTGGATTTTGTCCCCTCTAGTTTTTTATTCAAATACAGATATGTATTAATTGTGAATATAAATGCACCAAATCAACATGGTCCATCACTTTTTAACTCATGTACTGGTAGTGTATTAAGGTAACAAACAGACTAGATGACACATCCAAGTGTCAGTGCCTTATTATTCTCAGAATCCATAAACAGAGGTAACATAACAAAGCATGCAATCCACTTTAGGGGAATAAAACCTATTACAAAAGTAGTCTTTTTTGTTAAAGTCTCATTAAGCGCTAAACCAAATGTCTTACAAATTGGCCTCTTTCTAGACTCTAGCCTAATTCCTCTACCTAGGAGAAGCTAGTTGGTTGAGCTCCACTCCTTTTGAGATGGTAGCAAGAACCATGTTAGGTCATCCACCTCCTTGAGACACAAGGGGACATATAGATTTGAGCCCCAGGCACGGACTCAGATCTAAGTCACTTCATCTCTCACAGCCTCACGGTCTTTCTCTATAATATCAGGGCCTGCTGAAAGGTCCCTTCCAGGCCAAAAATTCTCTGAATTTCATGCAACAGGGAAAACAGGCTTTGAGAAATTGAGCAAGGAATAGGTCTCCTTGAAGACTACCTGGCCTATTTGTGGGTATAGAAAATGTGAAAACATAAAAACATGTAAATTCATGAAGAGGACCAACTCCATAGAATGCCCTGCACCCCAAAAGCATCTTGAGATACAAACACAGAAACAAACATGACATCATCCTGTTATTACTAAATCACAGGATTAATCCCCATTACAGGGCTTTTTTGAAAAATCTGGCAATCCCCACCCCCTCACTTGATGAACTCTAAACACACTATAAACTCTATTTTCAAGCTAAAATAAAGGTGGCAGAAACAGTTATTACACATCATTAACAAAAAAATGAAGATAATACCTAGATGTATCCTGTGCTTGCTTCACATCTACTTTAACTGTAAGTGACTTCTTCCTAAGAAATACAAATGAAGGCTTCAAGTCAGAATCACTATTATCAAGTTGGTTACAGGAAGAATTGCTCTCTTTACTGTCAGCCCTTTCTTTCTTGATTTTGTCCTTTCGTGTGTCCTTATAGGATCTCGAATCAACATCGCTTTTATCTGAATGGGTTAAGGCAGCGCAGTCTTTCTTAGATGGCTTAGAAGATTCTCTGACTTGCCCACCTTCAGTCTCTCTCCCTCTTCCAGCATGAGAACAACTGGACTCTCTATTCACAGGGCATTTTTGAGAACCCAATTTTCTATCTTCTTCCTTAGGGTACTTCTGAGCTCTTCCATCATAAAAGTCCTTGTCGCCGTCTGAGGTCTTCCAATATTTGTGGCGAGAATCACAGGATACCTTGGCTGCTGAACTGGTCTCTGGGAATTCCCTTGGAGCATATCGATGAGTTTGGGTTTCGAAGTTCCACTGATCTTTCTTCTCTTGGTAAGGAGCAGAAAAATGCCTGGACTTCCACTGCGGACTCCTGGCAGGCTCTCTGTTTTCATACCTCTCCACATCTTGAGGTCTTTTTGATGTGTGTCCATATTTTCTGAAATCATGATCCTCAGGATACCTGTGTTGACATAAAACAGTTTACACTTGCACTAGAGAGAAGAAAGTAAGAATTTATATGTGTGGAATGTTGGGCAGCATGGCTTTAAATGCAAAAGTGGTGGAAAGTTAACCTACAATCCCTTAAGCCAGCTCATAGACGCACAAGGTACTTAAAGAAAATAGCATCTTTTTTTTGAAAATAGCATCTTAAAAAAAAATATATTCTAGCCATCTACATGATTTACTCTAAAAATAAACACTTCACTACTATCAGTAGACCAAAACTACATTGCAATGCTTTTAATCTTTTAGACAAAAGCTTTTCAAGGTTATCTTCAACCATAAAGTAAACAGACTTTTTCATTTGAGGCTTTATACCAAATTATGCTAGTTTAATTGTTTTTCTATACCTCCTCTGAAAAGAGCTCCTTTTCTCAAAATCTTCAGAGCCTCTTCTAAGTGACTGAGAGTATTTTTCATCTTGTATCCTCTGGTGCCTCGGTTCATCTTCATGCCAATGTCCTTCGAATCTAAAAGAAACTGGTGTTGATCTCACAGGTGATGTCCCTCCTTTTCCACTTCCTCTATTTCTGTGGTCATCAGGAATATACCTTCCTTGTGCTTTCTGGGGATAACAACTCCTCTGGTGCTCTTTGTAGAATATACCTTCTGAGTGTCTGGGCACATATTGAGCTCTTCTGTTACTATCATCTCCTCTTTCTGGTAAATATACTTGGGGAGGCTTATAAGCACAAAACTTTTCTGAAGAGTTTCCTCTTATGCTTGGGGAAGGTGATCTATGCTCGTAAGATCGGTAATATATATTTTCACGAGAAGAAATCCTTGGTTTACTCTGTCCATGTTTCTCATTGTCCATTCTCCAAGTGATGGGTCTTTTTGGATCCTTCCTGTAGTCGTAGCCATAATGCTCATATCTTTGCTTGCAGTGTTCAGAACTTCTAGGCACTGGTGATAAAGACCTATGCAAACAAATACAGAAAAGTTTAGTCCATTCAAAGACAATACACTAAGTTGGTCTTATAGTGACTTATCCAAATAAAACGTTTGCTTTCCCCTGCCTCTTCCACTCAAATTCATCAGTATTTGATATCTGTATTCTAAATTGTTCACTTGGGAGCCTGACTATGCTTCTGCCCAATTCAACACGCATACTCTTTTCACCTGAACTAAAGTACCCCATGTATATATCAAAATGGGCTGAGCACAGCCATCCTACTGGAGGAGGACCAGCTTAGGTATGCAGGAGGATCCATTTCGGAAGATTGCTGACAGCAAAGTTCTGGCAAAAGGGCCCATCAACAAAAGCTTACATCAGGTTCCATGGTCAAGTAAGAAAGAGGGTTAGATTCACACAATTAAGTGTGCAGGAGAGTCTCTGGAAAACCGAAGATAATCTCTGAAATCAAAATAGATTCTAAGAGTTTATGTTGCATATCAAATCCAAACTCAGACCCCAAACTGATCCCACAGTTTCCCTAACTGATTGTCTATTCTCTCTACTAAGGTTATATCAAGTAGCAAAAACTACATCTTTAAATAGCATGTGGAGGTGGTGGGAGGAAGAGGACCTTAAGAGGTGGACCTCATGCTTAGTCCCTCTAGTATTACTATTGACATATATAAGCTTTATTTCCCAGACCTGTCCCCTTATATATACAATGAAGAAAGTGCTGTTGAACCAGAGCTTTTAATTCTGTGAATGTGTGCTTTAGTGCAGCTTTAATAATCTCCAGGGACAGCACGTCCTTTCTGTAACTACCTTCTCCAACACCTGAGCACTGCCAACATGGAACCTTTCATTCCAACTGAGGAGGAAGGCTTCTGTATCTGAGGAAACCAGTCTGAGTAACCAGTCTTCAGGTTAAGAGAGAGAAGTACTACCATCTGGTTCAGATTTGCACCTGGGGACCTTTCCTCCCATCTGACTTGTCCAATCTCCCAACTTCCTCCCTGAGAGTTTAATGTCTTCTAACCAATGTGGCAGCTACCTTTACAGTTTTTGTTATCACCCCCCTCTGCAGCAGCTGCCACGGAGTTGAAACAACCATGAGTAAAACTCTTTCCACTTGGTGACCTGTCTGGGTTCTCCCTAAAAGAAAGGAGGCTGATTTATCTTCCTCATGTATATACCGGGACTTAGACACTGGATTTGACAATCTCTCCCTCTAGAGTCACCAAGCTAGATGCACTAGCAAGTGCATTATTCAGCTGAAGCAGAGACTCTGTCATCCAGCTGGCTGCAACTCTTAACAGGAAGAAGCAACTGAAGACCCTGAGGACTTCCTCGAACATGGCATCTTTTCTACTGCTAAGGAGAAAAGCTGCCAGCCAGTGGCTGAGGTCTTCCAGACTGATGAAATACTCAATCTCTTACTTTAATCCTTACCTCACATTGAGTACTGCTTTGATATTATACCTCATATCAGGGTTCTATTGCACAGAGCCCCTTTCTTCTGAAGGAGACTGCTGAAATAGTGGCTATCATTTTCAGTTCTCCTGAAGAGACAAAAGAGACCCAAGGAATCTGTTGGGAGACTCCATGGGTCTCTAGTGCTCTGCACGCCTCCTGAGCTTCTGTTTCAAGGCAAACTCCCTGGAGAGATTAGGGACAGGGCCTCCCTAAGGGGCAGAGAGCCAATGTGCTTGCTGTCCAGGATAACAAGATAGTGTCTCCTCCAAGGCAAAGGCTGGGCAGGATTCCCTGCTGTCCTTAATGGGGCTTGGATTCCTCAGCTGTGTCAGCAGCTCCCACCCTCAGAGGACTAGAGGTAATGTGTGTGTGTGTGTTAGTCACTCAGTTGTGTCTGACTACATGGCTGCAAGCCCACAGACTGGGGCCCACCAGGCTCCTCCATCCATGGAATTTCCCAGGCAAGAGTACTGCAGTGGGTTGCCATTCCCTTTTCCAGGGGATCTTCCCGACACAGGGATCAAACCCGGGTCTCCTACACTGCAGGCAGACTGTTTACTGTCTGACCCACTAGGGAAGACAGAGGTAACAGGAGCACAGGAACATGAAGCTCAGCCGCCTGCTGCACATGAGTAATAAAGGCTTTTGTCTCTGATCCAAGAGTGCCTTGTGACACACTAGTCTGTCAGATTGCAAGGAGGGAATGATAGCAGACCTTCTAGAGTTGGTGACAAAGAGTTCTGAGAAGGCACCCAGAAATCAAGCACTAAGCTTGGCAGGGTCTTTTGTGCCACCTCACCAGAGCCTACCACAAAAGGGTGAAACAAATGACCTCTGTGAGGCCCTCCATGTTCAAACCATTTACTTCTTTGCATTCCCTTTTCTTTCTGAAGCTCGTCCACATTACAATTTTGTCTTGAAAATAACAAAATGAAAACTGTTGAAGCATGTTCCAAACCCATGCTTACTCTGCTTAACTAAGGACTGCTCACCTGTGCCTCCACCTGGGGGATCTAGAGCGTGACTGTGCCATCCTTTGACACGTGAGCCACTATCCTCTTTTTACGCTGCAAAGAAACACAGGATTAGCAAGTTTGTAGAAAGGGCCTGTAACCTGCTCCAAAAACAGTGAATGCCACTGACAAAAAGGAACTTAAGCCCTCTGTGCCTCAGTTTCCTTATAGGACCCACCTTATTGGAATATTTTAAACATAAAATCAATTAGATCAAAGGTAAGAAAGTTTTTTCTGTAAAAGGCCAGAGCATAACTATTTCAGATTTTGCAGCTCATATAAGGTTTCCATCATATTATCTTCTTCAAAAAAAATTTTTTTTTAAAAAATTTAAAATCATTTGTAGCTCAAGGACCACACAAAAATAGGCCCCAAAGGCCAAATGCATTGCCATTTGATGATCCCTTAGTTAAAGCTCAGAATACTGGCACACAGCAACTGCTAAATAAGTGTTTCAAAAAGAGGGAACACTCCCCCAGAATTCCTCTGAGCACAACTACTACTACTCCTCCCCACCTTTCACCATTGGTTATGTACATAAAACTGCAGTTACGTTCATACAATCAACAGTCAAAATATTTAGGAATACTTGATGATATATTCACTTTTAAAAATGTTAGATAATAAGAATTACAATGCCTAATTATCATACTCAATTATCACCTAACTTCCACCAGATACATATACCAAAACTTAAGGATGATTATAGACATTTAGTTTGCTTCTGTTTTCTAAAACAAATAATGTCAAATATGTTAATCTTAGAAAACAAATAAACTAGGTTTTAAAAATATATTTCAGTCTTTAAAAGAAACTGGTAGACTTAGGAACTGAATTTTTATAAAAAGTACATTTGGGTATAATCTTTTATATCAGTTGTTTTTAGCACAAGTCGCTCAGTCGTGTCCGACTCTTTGTGACCCCGTGGACTACACAGTCCATGGAATTCTCCAGGCCAGAATACTGGAAGCCGTTCCCTTCTCCATGTCAGTAATCTTCCTCAGTTCTGATACTATAGTTAAGTAGTTCCCAACTAACTGGACCCAACCCCCTGATGGCTTTTAAAATTATTGCCATGGGTCCATGAATAATACACACAGCTACCAAAAACAGACTACAGAATGAATAAGGGTATGTCTCATATATTAGAAGCTCTATTTTGCAAATTTCTGAAGATACTATAGCCACTGTTAAAATATAAATGATTTCTTGTCAATACAAAGTTTTATCACTCACTAATATAAAAAGTACAACCATAACTATGTGAACATAGGTTTGAAAATGGAGTTCTCATAGTCAAACATTTGCAAACTACTGCTATAATAAATTTCAGTAGAAAGTAAAAGCACGTAAGGTCAAAGAACTTGAACCAGATCACTCACCAGAATCACATTCAATTCATTTCAGTTATATACTGGTTCTTTTAAAAAAAATTAAGGCTAGGAAAAATTAGTTCAGATGTACTATGAAATTAAGACACTAAAGCAGAAAGTGTTTTCTTCTGAAAGTGAAGTTTCTCAGTTGTGTCTGACTCTTTGTGACCCCATGGACTGTAGCCTACCAGGCTCCTCTATCCATGGGATTTTCCAGGCAAGAGTACTGGAGTGGGTTGTCATTTCCTTCTCTAGGGGATCTTCCCAACCCAGGGATCGAACCAGGGTCTCCCACGTTGCAGGCAGACGCTTTACCATATGAGCCACCAGGGAAGCCCAGTGTTTTCTTAGTAACTAAAAATGTAAAAATGGGGGGGGGGAATGGGGGAAGTGACAGTTAAGGAGTTTGGGATGGGCATGCACACGATGCTTATATTTAAAATGGATAAACAACAATGACCTATGATACAGTACAACTCTGCTCAATGTTATGTGGCAGCCTGGATGGGAGTTTAGGGGAGAATGGATACATATATGTGTATGGCAGAGTCCCTTCACTGTTCACCTGAAACTATCAGAACATTGTTTGTTAATCAGCTATGCATGAGTGATTAGTTGCTTTAGTCATGTCTAACTCTTTGTGACCCTATGGACTGTAGCCCACTGGGCTCCTCTGTCCATGGGATTTTCCCGGCAAGAATACTGGAGTGGGTTGCCATGTCCTCCTCCAGGAGGTCTTCCCAACCCAGGGATTGAACCTGTGTCTTCTGTGTCTCCTGCATTACCACTGAGCCACCAGGGAAGGCCCTAATCAGCTATAACCCAATACAAAATAAAAAGGTTAACAAAAGAAAAAATATATATATAAATGTATTCATTTAACAAATGTCACTGAGTACATATTATTTGCCAGGCACTGTTCAAGGGAGAGTGCAGTGAAGAGAAACAGAAAAAAGTTCCTGCCCTCTTGGAGCTTACAATCTACTGAGGGAACTTATAATTTAATTAAAGAAGTTTTGGGTACATACTTATTAAATTAAACAAAAATAATAAAGCTTAAAGGTTGTACGGGAGACACCAAACACAGTTGATTGTGATGAAAAAGTATAATTTTCCCAAAGGGTAATTTTTTAATCCATTTTATTTTTTGTAAAACATTTATTGAGATACAATTCACATATCATACAACTGACCTATTTAAAGTGTACAGTTCAGTGTTTTTCAGTATATTCACAGGGATTTGTAACCACCACCACAATCTAATTTTAGAATATGTGATTCTTTGTGATTGGCGTCTTTCCTTTAGCATAATGTTTTCAAGGTTTTACTATTATCAGTACTTCATCCTTTCGTGGTTGAATACTAGCCCACTTTATGGGTATACCACATCTTGTGATTCATTTATCTCTCAATGGATATTTGGGTTGTTTCTATTTTGGGGGCTATTATGAATAATGCTACCATGAACATTTGCATACAAGTTTTGCGTAGACACAGTTTTTCAATTCTCTTGGGCATAAACCTAGGAGTGGAACTCCTGAGTCACACACTCACCCAATGTTTAACTTCTTGGGAGACTGCCAAAGTTTTCCAAAGCAGCTACATCATTTTACATTCCCACCAGCAATGTATGAAGCTTCCAATTTTTCCACATCATCATTGACATTTGTTATGGTCTGTCTCTTCCACTATAAGTCATCCTAGTAAGGGTGAAATGGTACCTCACTGTGGTTTTGATTTGCATTTCCCTAATCATGGGTAACCTCAAAATATGTAAGAAATTATGAAACTAATCATGCCTACTTTCCTTTAATCTAATAATTTCAGTCTAAATGTGTTATTCTAAGATAATAATTTAAAAAAAGCAGCTATATATACTAAGATGTTTATATCAGCTTAATTTAAAATAGGAAAGAAAAAAATCCACTCAAACGAACTATAATGCAAATGCAGTCAATAAAAGATTAAACAGATTTAAGATACATATATCTAGTCACTCCCTACCTTTCTCCTAGCCTTGTATGTCTTTTCCTTCACATATCTTATTAGTTCACCACAGCAAATGACTTGCTTTTCCCTGATCAGGCCATTCTGTTCATACCACACAGATGGCTTTCACTCACTCTGCCTGACAAATCCCTATTCTTTCAGGACTCTTTGACCATCAACTCCTTGATACTCTTTCCCTGACTTTCTTTTTTTTCCCCTGAGTTCCTTTCTTTTTGGGAATTCTGAGTTTATTCTATAATTCTGTCAATACATTGTGATTATTTAATATAACTATTTATCTCAATAGGCAAAGACTCCAAACAGCACATCACAGAACACAAAACTCAAATGACCTATGGACATCTGAGATGTTCAACCTCAATAGTAACTGAGTAAATACCAATTCAGATCATAACCATTCCACACCTGTCAGAATGACCACAAAAAAATAGAAGTTGCATATTTTACAGCGTTGGTGAGGTTGTGGAATGACAGAGACTGTCGTACACTGCTAAGCAGGTATACGAACTGCTTATAACCAGTTTGGAAGGGGTTGGCAGTAGCCGTTAAACTTGAACGTGCTGATATTCCATGAACTGGCAATTTCACTCAGGGATAGAGCTTAGAACAGTGGTTCTCCAACTTTAGTGCGAGGAAGAGTTACCTGAAAGACACAACACAGAATGTTGAGCCCTCCTCTGGGATGGGCCCTATTTCTAGCAAGTTCCCAGGTGATGGAGATTCTGCTGGTCCTGGGACTATAAAACTACTGGTTCCATCTTTCTAAATTCGGGGCTGGTGCACTGGGAAGACCCAGAGGGATCGAGTGGAGAAGGAGGTGGGAGGGGGGATCGGGATGGGGAATACATGTAAATCCATGGCTGATTCATGTCAATGTATGGCAAAAAACCACTACAATATTGTAAAGTAATTAGCCTCCAACAAATAAAAATAAATGAAAAAAAAACTTGAACATGCTCATATCCCATTAACCAGCAATTTCACTCAGAGACAGAGCTTAAAATAGCAGTTCTCCAACTTTAGTGTGAGGCAGAGTTACCTGAAAGGCTGGTTAATGCAGAATGTTGAGCCCTCCTCTGGGATGGGCCCTATTTCTAGCAAGTTCCCAGGTGATGGAGATTCTGCTGGTCCTGGGACTATAAAACTACTGGTTTATTCAAAATGGATTAAAGATCTAAATGTAAGACCAGAAACTATAAAACTCTTAGAGGAAAACATAGGCAGAACACTCTCTGTCATAAATCATAGCAAGATTCTCTATGACCCACCCCCCAGAGTAATGGAAACAAAAACAAAAATAAACAAATGGGACATAATTAAACTTCAAAGCTTTTGCACAACAAAGGAAATTATAAGCAAGGTGAAAAGGCAGCCTTCAGAATGGGAGAAAATGATAGCAAATGAAGCAACTGACCAAAATATACAAGCAAGACAGCAAAAGAGACACAGATGTAAATAACACACTTTTGGACTATGTGGGAGAAGGCAAGGGTGGAACGATATGAGAGAATAGCATTGAAACATGTATATTACCATATGTAAAACAGATGACCAGTGCAAATTTGATGCATGAAGAAGGGCATCCAAAGTTGGTGCTCTGGGACAACCCAGAGGGATGGGGTGGGGAGGGAGGTCAGAGGGGGAGTCAGGATGGTGGGACACATGTACACT